TACTTTCCTCTCCCCATCTTTCTCTCTACTACAGACATCCTCTTTTTCCTTTTCATCATTAACCATACACTGCAGATGTCCAGGAACTACGCTATCTGTTCCACACCCAGTGATCGCAGAAGACATCCTGATGAGTCATTGCCACTCTTGTCCCCAGTTGGCTAGTTGTTATTAAGACAGCATTAATATGGTCAGGATGATGTGTAACCACCCAGGGCAACAGAAGGAGGAACTAGGGGGTAAAACAGACCACCCCGAAGGAGTGGCTCTGTGCCACCCCTTTCCTCACTGGATCAGTGCCACAGCAACCACATGCCATGGCCCCTATCCGGTGTTTTTCTGCCCCCAAAAGAAGTGGAAAAATGCCACTCCTTATAGGAATGGAAAAAAAACACCCTTGCCACTGCGGCAGCAGTTTCAGGTGCTCTTTTTGCTACGCAGTGTGTAGTTGCCATGCCACCAGAGCGCCGCAACACTGCCAGGCATCTGGTTGGGCAAGTGGCATGATGCTGGCTTGGAGGCAGAGTTGGGGCATGCATTGACTAAACCCCACGTTCCCATGCCACCCACAAGCTGGCACTTACTGCTGGTCTGTATAGCCCCTGGGTTAGTCCAATGGGCACATGGTGGGGAATCAAAACCAAACTCATTCCAGGGACACATCCCAGTCCTCTGCAGAGGAAGCAAAATCAGATGCTCTACTCAGGTAGTCAACCCTCAGGAACAGATAGAGGAGGAAGCTAAGTCAAAGCAGTGTCTCTTCCTCCGGCAACCTAAGACAGAGAGCGCAGACACTTTATCTGGTGGAGTCTCCTTCTTAGGAGGTTTTTAAACAGAGGCTGGAAAGCCATCTGTTGGGAGTGCTTTGACTGTATATTCTTGCATGACAGGGGGTTGGACTGGATGTCCTTTGTGGTCTCTTCCAACCGTAGGATTCTATGAGTCTATCTAAAGTTACCAGGAAGTTATCAGGATGTTCAGAAAAAAATGTGCACCAAGCCTGACTATAAACTAATACAATGAGAGATGCTATGGATTCAGGTAAATATCATGACATTGTTATCAAAATATATCACTTATTTAAAAATTAGCTGTGGTGTGACCTCCACAGTACTGCGATAATGACTAGAAGAAATCTAAATTTGTATAAAGGCCCCCACTATAACTTTGTTCCACTACAATAAATTGTGGGTGTCTAAAATACACTGGTATATGTTCTCAAGCTCCCCACAGTCCTATAAAGAGAGAGCCTAAGAAAACTGGTCATGAATACTTCCTAGCAACAGTAAAAATTCTCTTATCTAGTGTTGTCTAGACAAGACTCTATACTATTAGATCTAGACATTTATGAATACACCTTATTCCCCTACTAATAATAACTCTAGGTACTGGAACATTTCTATAGTCAATGCAAACACTTCAGATCTTATATAGAGTTCTGATACTAAGATGAATAATATACCAAGCAGCTTCTTCATCTAGCAGTGACATATTTAAAACAGCAATAAAGTAGATACTTTTGACTGTGGTAACCAACAACAATTACCCAGACTTGTATATTATTTTTATTACCGTTAGCTATGTAAGAGCATAGAATTCCTGTTTGGAATGGATTGGATAAGGCTGATGGATGACTTGGTTGCTTGATATGGCTGATATCTATGTAATAGGCACAAGACTCAGTTCCGCAGAAGGATGATGAACAAGAGTTGCATGCCTATGCAGAGAAAACTGATAGCATACCATTCTTTCTTTCTCTTTTCAGGGAGTAAAATCCTGATGGGGGGAAATGATGCTCATGGTTCATATACAAAAAGGATATTTAACTTCTAGTAGAGAGCCAGTGTGGCATGGTGGTTTGAGTGTTGGACTATGACTCTGGAGACCAGGATTTGATTCCCAGCTCGGCCATGAAACCCACTGGGTGACCTTGGGCAAGTCATAATCTCTCAGCCTTAGGGGGAAGGCAATAACAAACCTCTGAACAAATCTTGCCAAGAAAAACCCATGATAGGTTCACTTAGGATCACCATAAATCAGAAATGACTTGAACTCACACAACACAGAGAGAGAATGGAAGAATGCTGACATGTTTGGCTTTTCTTGCATTCTAGAGGATAACTAATGTTAACATGTGTCATCGTCTACACTTGTATTTGCACATATGACTGGTATGTGCCTTTGGGAGCTTTCCCCATGGGGAACCTGCTCTTTATACTTCCAGTAAGACCTTGGGAGTTGAATAGCTATGGATGGAAGCTATGGATGGAAGATTTAAAGTCTCCAGCAATCCGCATCTACAGTCTTATAGTGTTAATATGAAGTATAGGCACTCATAATGACATTCATCATAGTCACACCACCAAGCAAAATCCAAAAATGCAGCCACTATGTTGATCTATGTCATCTGCTCAAGACTAGCAATTTTGATTCCCACTGAGGGCAGATTTTTTTTAATGGTTGAGGTGTGATTGCTTCAAGATCAAGTCACATGAAAATATTTTGCACCCCAGCAGAGTTAGCTAATGTGTGTTTGCCATTGCTCAGAAAACCTGTTATTCCTTCAGTGACAACTGAATCTCAGCTCAGAGGAAAAGAACTGAAATCTGAGGAAAGCAAGCATGTTCATATTATTGGAACCTTCTCTGCCATAGGGCTCCCTTCCATATAACACTGGAGAGGGAATGTGCATTGGTGCATTCTTTTTATACCCCAACTACACTGAAGGCAAAACAGTGCAGGGAGATGGAAGAGAACTTGGGAAGATGGGTTGATTGAGGGAGCAGCATGAACACAGGATAAACTTTGCAGAAGAGCAAGAACTCCTTCAACAACAGGAACATGTGACCCTCCAGATATTGTTGGATTGCAGCTCCTTCAACCCTCACCATTGTCTGTGCTGCTGAGGGCCAATGAGAGTTACAATCTGATAATAAACGAATGGCCCCACACAATTCCCAGCCCTGTTCTATAGAGTTGGTTTGGGGAACAGGTCCCCCACCCACCCAGAATAGAGAAAACAAAAAATAATCTAGGTTGGGCTTGTTCTAAACCATGGAGAGATGTGTTTGTGCAAAAGTGGAAAGAGGATTATGCTTTCCTACCAAGGGTGTTTTCTGCAAGGCAACATAAAGTGCTTTAATATTTGTATACTGTGAGTGGAGGGCTCTAACATTTATTATTGCCATTGACTGTTGGGTGATGTACAGGTAGGAACTGTGCTGTTTGATATGATGCTTTATAGTCGTTAGCTCTCTGGCCATAAAGAAAGGTGTACTGGAATCTTGCAATAAGATCAAATGTAGTTTATTTTAGGCACACACAATTTAACCACATGTGATAGTTTCAGTACAGACCTAGGAGCTTATCGCATGACTTTTTCAGCCCGATCCATGCACAGGATGGAATCTGGCTGGAACAGGAGAAAACGGGTTTTACAAAACAGGAAAAGACCGACCATCAACTGTCCCCGATCCGGCCTCTGCCGGCCGATTTTGGAGCTTCCATAGTACCAACAGAGGCTGGATCAGGGATGGGTGGTGGTTGACTGGCACTGCAGCAGCAATTTCATGTGTGGTAAAACCCGTTTTCCTCTATTCCAGCCCAATCTTGTCCCATGCACAGATTAGGCTGAAAAGTGAGTGCAATAAATTCCCTAGCTGGATGGACAAGAAGTGGAGATCTCACAACCCTCTGAGAGCTGAATATAAAGATAGCCCATCTGTCAGAAGATGATAATAGCTTTCCTGGATTGAAAAGAAACCCATTTTTTAAAATTTCATAGCAATGTGAGAGCATCTAATTAATCAATAGTAGAACTACAGTACCAATAGTTTAGTTCA